TGTCCTCCAGTAAAATATAAAACAAAAAAAATGACAATAGCCAATTCTGTGTCCATAGTTGTTTACTCAATTTTATCAAATGAATGATCAGGATGGCAGCTGTACTCTCGCACCGGTGCTTGGCGCCAGGAGCGGTAATTGGGAACACCTGGTTGCGCAATTAGGAAATCCCACAAAGCCTATCCACAAGTTTCCAGGGGGCGCTCCTGTAAAAAAGTGGGCGCAACTTCCGGTTAGGCGGTGGAAGTAGCATTCCAATGGTATTTTGTGTGTTATTTAGCGAAGAGGTTAGCTGTTTTTCGGTTAATTATTTTACAATTTAAAGATGCAAATCTTTCTGAGAGATGTCATTACGGAGCTCAGGGACAACATGTGTTGTTCACGGTTGTATGTATAACCGGACTAAACTAATTCAGTGGCTTAAACTTGAGTGTTTTGAACATAAGCCTAACACGAAATCAGAGTGTTCCTGCCAACGACCATACAGTTTCCATCACCTCCCAAAAGACGATGAATCAAGAAGAATATGGCTAAAGAATTTAAACTTAAAAACACCACCAAAACAGCTGCTTGTGTGTTCATTTCACTTCGTGGACAAGAAGCCAACACATGATAACCCGTACCCAACTCTCTTTCTGGGTTATGACTAGAAAATTTAAGTGAAGGCTGCTGTGCAGCAACATGCAGAACACAAATGACACACAGTAAACATTTCAGTTTAGTACATTTATTAATTAATTAACAATATCACAATGTAATAATACATTTTCGTGCTCTTAATTATCCTTATTTTACTGACCTTCCACAAAAGTGCTGCTGCATGACCACAAGAGCGTTCTGGCCCTGCAATACATGAACAGCCCGCTGTCTGTACTTCACCTGTCACTGATGCTAGAACCCAAGCCTTATGATGTGATACGTGTAGGCTCTGGCTCGGCTCAATGCTTTAAGATACACAAGTTCGTTTACGACGTCCTTAAATAATACCTGGCTGACTTTATTACTCTGTAGATACTGATATGCCTCCGAGCTTTTCAAATTGCTCAACGCTTTACTATCACAGGCTACTGAATCTACAAAATAGCTAAAAATGCTACTGTACGTGATACGAGGCTACTTCTTCATGTCATCCTCCCAACCCTCTACTACAGAGGGTAAAGGTACTGTTATTTCACCCTTTTTAATTTCGTTGAGGTTGTGTTCCCACATCGTTTGCTGAATGACTGTTAACTGTTGAATGAATGAGTGTCAAGTTGCGCTTGCCGCTTTGTTTACTTCGAACCGGAAGACGCGCCCACTTTTGACGCAAGGCCTCATGGGGCGTAGGAAACTTGTGGATACGGTGCGTCCTTCGAAGGATGCAGCCTTCACATTGGGACACAGCGACTGCGTCCCAATTCGCTTACTTATACTACGCCCTAAAAGTATGTACTCTTTTTGTGAAGAAAAAGTACATACTTATGAGTGTGTAGCAAAGAAGTAGGCAAGCTTTGGGACATACTATCGCATCATCTTTAACAGACAGCTCTGTCGCGTGCTGCGTGCATCCTGCCACCGTAAACTGCCATGTCAATTATCTTGTCACAGTTAAAATCCTCCATTCAATCTAATTTGATTTTCTTCCGTTTCGGAGAGCACGTTGATCTGCCAGTCATGGGTCTTTCATGCTGATACTCTCATCGTGTTTGCAATTTAAATATAATGATGCATTTAAAAGGTAATGGCTAAACGTATCTTTACAAAAGTTAACAATGCTGCTGCATATGCAATATAATGTGGAAAACATTGGATAAATTAATTTTCGTTTGGTTAGATACTGATAACTAATCACTCAAACCTCTTTATCTAAACCATGAACCTCTCAACATAACCCATAGACAGTAAAAGAAATGGACAAAGCGACCCCATTGATTTCAACGGAGAAGACTGAAGACCGATTATTGCACTTCCTGTCTGACGTCTGAGCGACTGCGCAGGCTCAAACTGAGCGTGACGACAGTCTGACAGTTGTAAATCTTCTAGTAGCTGTGCCAAGACAAATCTGAATCACCTAATGTTGTTGAAATATTTTGTCCCGTTGTTTTTATGGACTCTCTATTTTGTGCCTTCATGTCCCCCCGATTGCCTCATAGACAGTAAAAGATTGCCTGCGAGATGATCTCCTCCTGTCTATACAGTAATGTCTCTATTGTGCGACAGAAAGTCCCATGGTTATGATGCAATCTTTAGCCTATTTTTACAAAAACGGCTTCTACGGGGCTGTAACGTAAGATACAAAGTAATGGAGCATTTTATACATTGTCGTGTTTCTTTAGAAATAAATAATGGACAAATTAAGTCTTTGGACGCCTCAGATGTAAAGTTATTCGCTGTCAAAGTGACGCCAAAATAAATGGGAGTCAATGGGATGCTAACAGCAGGTGAAGTTCTGCTACAATGGTGGCTCACGCGAGGCTTAATTTTCCGGCTGATGGATTAGCCCCTTGACATAACCCATAGACAGTAAAAGAAATGGACACAGCGACACCATTGATTTCAAAGGAGAAGACTGAAGCCCGATTATTGCACTTCCTGTCTGATGTCTAAACGACTGCGCAGGCTCAAACTGAGCGTGACGACAGTCTGACAGTTGAAAATCTTCCAGTAGCTGTGCCAAGACAAATCTGAATCACCTAATTGCTCAAAAACGTTGTTGAAATATTTTGTCCCGTTGCTTTTATGGACTCTCTATTTATGGGCTTCTACCTTGACTTTGTGCCTTCATGTCCCCCCGATTGCCTCATAGACAGTAAAAGATTGCCCGCGAGCTTCTCCTCCTGTCTATACGGTAATGCATCTATTGTGTGACAGAAAGTCCTGTGGTTATGATGCAATCTTTAGACTATTTTTACAAAAACGGCAGTTAAACGGTAGTTTCTTAACACTTTTTACTCGTGTTTGTAGTTCTAACAGAATTCTCATCCAATGCGCGATGGGTTGTGGGCAATATCAGCCGTTAGAGTGTGCATCGATCTATACTTCGGATTCTGACTGGAAATAGAAGACCATCTGGGTCTCTTTAGAACACTCATTTCAACATACTACGATTTGGGATGTACTAATTCTATTTTCGAATACTATTTAGGACGGATAGCAAATTGGGATGCAACTAGTCTCAATTCCTCCACCACCACCAGGTGCCTTAATTACCGTAAGTAACCAAAATAATGTGTTAATAAAATAAAACAATACCACGCTCTTACAATATTACCTAATTTAAATAATGTATTATACATAATTAGGCCTAGTTGTATTATTAAAAATATAATTAATCTATTATAGTTTTAGTATTGTTTATTATTATTTTTTACTTATTAATATATACTTATTGATTATTACCACTTTATTAATAGCTTGGCGTTTGCTTTAATCCACATTTTTCCACATTTTTGTCCGCTGGGGGGAGAATGTTACTTTCTGATAGTTGTACTAACGTTCCCCAACTAACAGACAAAATGCTGGGTTAGTTAAATTATTTGAATGATTTATTAAAAAGAAAAATTATTGACTAAGAATAAAATGTTATATTTAATCTAGACTTGAACTTCAATTTAACAATTTTGAAAAGTCGCAGAAAAGAGCTGCATCTAAATTATGCAAAACTGGTCTCCAGAAAAATAATCCTGGATGGCTATATCATTAAACAGATGTGTTTTATACAGTCAGTGCTATGATGCAATGCTCATTGCAGAGACAGTGACGTCCATATCCAGCTCCGCCCCTCTGGATCTAATGGGTGGAGCCTGATCTAGTCCAGTTTCACCTTTGTGGACTCAATGGGTGGAGTTTTGTTTTGTTTAGCGATAGTTATAGATACAGTCGGCAACGCGTCATAGTTGGGGGGCGTGGTCGGTGTGGGGGAAAGCAGCGCGACCATCCTATGTATTTGAATGACAAAAATGTCATATTGCGAGTCATTTATGCCTGCCGACCGGCAACGGTACATTGCAAAATTAACTGTAATAGGTTATGATTGCCCTTATTTAATTAAAAACTGGGTCAATGACCCAACCAAATGGCCGGAGGTGTCGTTTCCAGACTATTATCTGGTTGAATCTTCAGGTAAGACATCGCGGAAGCTACCGGCAACACAAGCCTGTAACTCAATCAACTTGCGTATTTTTACTATAAGTCCATAAAACCATGTCACTTACCAATTGTACGTATGCTTCACTCCAAACTATTAATCCTTTTGTAAAACGGTGATCATTAGTAGTCGCTACGAAGTTGCAGAGGGACTTTGCTGACAGTTATCCGAATTCTCACAGACTGCAGTCTGATAACCTTCAGCTGATAACGCTAATAACATCCCTTATGAAAAACAACTAAAGGAATCTTGTAGTATTTTAGGACAAAATATTATAGTAACGTTAATCCTATAGGAATACTATAGTATTTTGGGACATAGCCTAGAAGTATAGGTATTAATGAACATCACAGAAGTATTATACATACTATAGAATACTAATAGCCATAGGATTACTATAGTTCTTTTTCGTAAGGGATGTAACGTCAGACAAATCTGGCCCACTGCCTAATACGAGTTAAACATCTACTACTATATCACACGGACCTCTACTCACACAGTAATCTAATAAGATATGATTAATTTTGCCATTTTGTCCTCCTATCCGGTTCTGTATGTATGTAAGAAGGCTGTAGAACTTCAATTTATAATTTGTTTGTTTATTGGTGGTACAGAAAACGACACCGCAACTCTTCGGCATGATTGTCCCATGTATTTCAATGAGCGCCAAGGCAATGTTTTCCCCCACGGGCTAAATTCACACCACGTGACGGGGCGTTCCCGGGGGCGTTCCCAGACCAACCGACTGTATCTATGGTAGGGATAGGGTGTGGTTGAAGTGGACCGTCTAGTTCCACCCATTACGTCTAGCGAGGGGTAGTTGGACGTCAAGTTCCACCCACAAGCCGTACGTACGCCTATTGTTCTCTTGCACCAGTAGCGGTCTGCTGGTGTTCTGTTGTGAAGAGAGAGGCGCACCTCCTTTTGACCGGCTGATTGGTCGAGGGCTGAATCTGGGCAGGACAGGAAACGGGACGCGAGCAACGCACAGCAATCTCCGTTCTCCGGGAGAGAATGGGAGAGGAAACCGAAATGTGTCAATAGGAGACTGGAAGGATTGAATCGGGCGAATTAATAATTTGCCCTTTTGGTAAAGCGCTAGTAGTAGGCTACTGCGCTATTCACCACCAGGACTGTGGGATATTTATCTTTAGTAGGCTACTCTTACAAATAATTGTTGGCTGATTTCATAAAAGAATTGCAGAGCTCTTCGCTTCTGGGTAAGTGACCACTATTATCTCATCTTATGTCTTACTAGGCTTTAACTTGTGCTGCGTTCTGTTAAACTAGGTTTACATTATGAAAGCACTGGGGATCGCCAATATCCCACTCCAAAAAAAAAAAAAAAAAAAATGGCTCAGTTATCATGTCTGCTGTTATTGTATGTCGTTAGGAGAAAATTGCCTGGACAAAAAGGCATGGAGCGTGTTAAAGAAAGGGGTCGAATTCATCTTAGTCATTTGACAATGGGACAGTCCCCACGTGCACAAAAGCTCCCCATCATCAATCAAAGAATTTTTCTGGACGGGTTGTAACGTTAGTTGGTTTGAAGAACTGTAAGCTTGTCTGAATTTATGCTTTTGGCTTCATCTCCAGTTGAGTCAAATGAAGCCTCTTGTATGTGGCCGAGTAGCCTACTGTGACCAACGGATGATCTTTCATTTTGGTCATTTCATCATGTTACATTGATTCACCAACAACACCGGAGAATTAAAAAGTCCGTCACGTGTTCTCATAAAATGCCGTAGCCTACTATGTCAGCATGATCCTGGGTTTGTTCAAAACAAACATACGCCCATACATTTCATGCCCCCCTCACCCCACGTTGGTGAAGTTGTTGTTTTTTTCTCCACGCTGTAATTACCGTTATGCTCTGCGCTTTATAATGAATATCATTAGAAACAGTGTTGTCAGCTTGCTGGTCTACGCCCAGTCGAGCCCGAAGGCTATCGTGTTTTGGATATTAAACCACACACCTCCATTCGATAATTAAAGGGTTCATAAATGAATGAAAGCAGTTTATTGATGTTAGTGGCAATCTTAATGTTTATTGATGTTTGTGGCAAACGCTTTATTTTGCGTGTCGCGTTTGGTTTAGGCCGCCGTAGTCTGTGTTCATTGTCCTGCTACAGTCACTCTTAGGTCACACATGTTTTTGTCACAACTGTTTTTCAACATCGTTCTTATTAATGTAATTCGTTATCCATATCCATGAATAGCCATTTAACTGGGACTATGTTATGTCGCTGTTAAAAGTGAGAGTTAAGATCATTGATGTTTAGAATAATCTTCCTGTTATTCAGAATATGTTAAACATGGATTGTCCCTTCCTCACCTGTTTCATGAGAAGGGGGAAACAACATGAAGACCTTTCATTTTGGGGACATTCTTTGAGATGTTATTGTTCACAGACACATCACATTTTTTTTTTATAGTTTTAAGTTAAGTTACTTATTATGACCTCATAGAACATGTCTCAGTATTGTTGTGTCACAATTGACACATTAGATTACACTATACACTTCTGCTTCAAATAAAAGTTAATGTAGTGAGATGGTGAAACATAAAAACATTCTTTCTTTATTTCTCACTAGCCACTTTTGTGCCAACAATCAACATCCCGTAGAATATGGCATGTAATAGACCTTATTCAGAGCAGCGTCATGACGGGTATGAAAGTGAGGCCGTGAGGGATAGACTTACCCTGTTTCCAATGGCATCTGCTGTAAAAAGCTGAATAAAGCTGCTAGATTACTTACAATTTTCCACAGCTTACATTGTCTTGAGTTTTTTGTCAACTGAAATTTCTTGGAAAGATATTTTCCCAGTGTTTCATGAGCAGAACAATCGAGACACCCCTCGCTGCAGCCTGTAGCACGATGACGTAGCTGGATGGTCCAATACGTAGTGGACACTGTAACGTAATATAATCGCTTTTAACAATTTAGTTTGTTTCAAAGCAGCTTTACATAGATAGGCTACGCATAATCGCATATAATTTAATGTAACAAAGATTGTTTTGGCTTTATAGCGGTTCGTGAATAATGTAGCTATTTCCAGCTAAAGTTAGTTTTGATTGTGTTTGTTTGATTGTTTCGACTTCTGTCGAAATGATAATTTCGTTCTCTCTAAACAGACTTTAAACGCGATCCTGCGATAAACGCTTATGGCACATGCACATTAAGATTTGATAGTTATTGTAGAGAGTAGAGAGTTGGTGAACAATCACACATTGATCTTCCAAGAATAGCTACATTTAAATATAAATGGTCATGAGTATGGAAGCTATTTTCAGAGCTTTCAGAGTAAAACATTAAAAAAAAAAAAATTGCGACTTTTTCCTTACAAATGCGAGTATACATTTCGCATACTGACTTTATTTCTCAGAATTGTGAGATATAAAGTCAGAATTGCCTGAAATAAAGCCTCAGTCGCATGTTATTTAGACAGAATTGCGTGAAATAAAGTCGCAATTGTTTGCTATAAAATCAGAATTCTGACTTTTTTCCTCACAATTCTGAATGTATAACATAATTGCGAGTTTATATCTCCCATTGCGAGTTATAAAGTTAAATTCTAAGGGGAAAAAAATCTGGCTACTTATTTTTTAACCTCAGAATAGTTCTCACAATATCTCACAATTCTAACTTTATAACATGCAATTGCGACTTTATATCTCCCAATTTGCATATTATAAAGTCAGAATTTCAAGTAGCCTCGCAATTGCTAGTTTATATCTTATAATTCTGACTTAATAACACGCAATTGCGACTTTATATAAATTCTGAGATAAAAAGTCTAACCAGTAGTGAGATAAAAAGTCGCAATTACCTTTTTTATTTCTCACTCTGTGGCGAAAACAAGCTTCCAGACATGTCTCACTGAACAGCAAATTAAGAGGAACATGTAGACTTTTATTTTATTTTTTTTCCCTACATCTGACAAGATTTATTTTCCTGATGCTGTTATTATTTTAGCATTTTCCGTTGAATGTTCACTGGTATTTTAAGATGTTTACAGTTGTACATTTAAAATTACAGAGATAATTAGACTACTTTGACATTTTTTGCTTCCAATCAACAGCAAATATGAATAAAATAAAATTGCTTTATTTTAAAATGTTCTATATACATGCATTAAAAAAAATACTTGCGGTGCACATGCTATTAATCTATCAAATGTAGGTTTAAAATCATGTGATTTAAAATGTAAAATAACTTTGCATGTAGCCTATGTAGAGTGAATCTTGGATAAGCATCCCATTTATGTAATAATTATTATTCATCAATAATTACTTATAATTATTTAACAGTACTATAATACACAGGTTTGAACATCATCTCAGTACAATATTGAGTTTACATATCACTTCAGATCAATGCATGCGAATTATAATCATGAGATCGGCACTGCGCATGCGTATATGACGTCACCAAAACACACCTCCATCCACTACGTATTGGACCATCCAGCTACGTCATCGTGCTACAGACTGCAGCGAGGACCTCTTGGAACAATCCGAAAACACATTAAATAAGAGTACAGCCCATTGAAGAGATGAATGTCTATCCCTCACAGCCTCGCTTTCATTTTCATTAAAAATCAAAGATGGCGCTGCCGTGAATAAGGCGTATGAATTGTTGACCTCAAGAAAATGAGTACTTAGTCTATTTTTTTCCCATTTTCCTCAGTTCCTTGTTCACTGCCATGTAGAGAAGGGAATGCATGAATGCATTTAAGTGAGATTTCAGATGTGCAAATTTTTTTCAAGTGCTGTGGCCACACAAAAGACTCAGATTTTAGTTGGTGTTATTTTACCAAAGCTCCCCCTCAGAAAAGGGGGCAAACCTTCAAAGAGAACTGTAACCCTCCGTGAAACAGTCACCAGGGAAAGTGAAACCAGATAGGTCCTAAGCAAGGAACCTGGAATGGAGCACCTGGAGGCTAGCAAATGCCCTGCTGGTATAAATACTTGGCACCAGTCATCAGGTGCCCTTGGCTTTACCAGAACCACACTCTTCACACTCAGTTGCCTGATTTCCCATAAGTAATTTGCCCAACTTTAACTCCCAAACAGAACTGATTAAGAAACTAAAGGAGACAGAAAAACAGATTTCAATAAATAAAAACATATCTTTTGTATATTTAAAATATTAATGTCAATTCACCTCATGTGCCTGTCTGTTTTAAAAGAACTGTTGCGTTGTGTGTGCCTGATTTTTAATTTTAAACTCTCATTTACTATCCACTTATAAAATGTTTGATTCAGGAAAAGAATTCAATCTGTTTTTACAGTGAAATTGTGAAAAAATTTAATTCAGTCAGGTCTCATGTATTACTTTTATGTGCAGAGCAGAATAAGCTACACATTTAGATTCATCCTCATTAATAGATTCGTTGTATCATTATACGTAGATATCAAGGGATCAGTTAACACCTGTGTGTGAAGGGGTTGTAATCACACATTACAATGATCCACTTGACAGGTGTTGCTATTATTTCTGAAGGCCAGTATTCCTATTTCTATGTGAAGTCTCCGGGTCGGATTTTCTGTGAAAGCCATCGGATGTGACGTGCATGCGAGCTCCTGAGCCTCTCTCCTTTTATATACAGTCTATCATGCGACGGCACTGCAGCTGAAGACATGGAGTCTGATAACACCAAAAAACATGCATTTACATTTTTAAACTTAGACCCAGGGCCCTATCTTGCACCCGGCGCAAATGACTTTATACACAAACGCATGTCTCATTCCTATTTTGCACCCGCGCAAAGCGGGATTTTCCCCTCCACAGACGCACGTCGGTAAACTAGGGAATGAATTTGCGCTCCCTGGGCGGATCGGCGCAAAAAGGAGGCGTGTTTCGGCGCAAACATTCTCTGGTGCTATTTTACACTTCCAGAAAACAATTGCGAAAACACTGACCAGAAAAAACCTGAGGGCTGTTTCACAAAACCAAGATAGCGGATTAAGCCGGGATTTTCCAGATATCCTGGCTGAATTAAGCCGGGACTCGGTTTCACGAAAGCAGTAGTTTCATGAAAGCAGTAGCAGTAGAAAGCAGTAGCACATAAGTTACCATGGCGATTTATTCTGTGCAGCTAGCCTGCTCCAGACCAGGCTAACAGCCAGGCTTAGTCAATCCTGGTGCCTTATCTGTTCAGCAGCGGTCACGCCGATCAGAAACCAATGTGTTTTGTCAGTTATTCCATTTTGTCA